ATTTATATACCTTAAAAAGTGATCACCACAATGTTTAGTACCACATGTCCCTGTACAGAGTTATTATGATATCAGTGACTATATTCCATATGCTGTCCCTGGATCCCCATGGTTACTTTATACCTGGAAGTTTGTACTTTCTAATCCCCTTCTTCTATGTTGCCCTTCCCCCCACCTTCCTCCCCTCTGGAAACCATCAATTTGCTGTTTGTGTCTATGGCTTTGTTTCTGTTTTGTTTTGCATATATTCTTAAGTAGACAGTTTTCCTACTTCGGTGTCCACCTTAAAGTCAATGCCATTGAGTGTTTTTATTTTATAATTCTAAGCTACTTAACGAGTAGAAATAAAGCCTTCTGACTTTTAAGGCATACAAATTTGATTGTTGTCTATTATCTAATTAAACCCTTTCACAATACAGTTATTATCTCTGTCAATATTCCTGTCAATACTGTTTAGAATAGAGTTTGTAGCTTATATGAAATTCCTTACTTTCTCAGATGGCCTTAAAGGAAAGCTATGTAGTATCATATGTGAAATAGAAACATCATCAGAAAGTGTGTCTACATTAGTGCAACACGATAATGCTGATTATTTTATTGATATGTTCCAGAAAGCATATTTGAAAAAATGGGTAAAAGGGATTTTTATTACATCTTTGGAGAGCAACTTGAGATGAGTAATTACATTTGATCTTTGCCCAGCTCTTTACTTTCAGTCTTGGATTGCTAGCTAAACTTTCATGTTGAGTTTAATATTTTTTCTCACTTAATTGCTAGATACAACCTTGTATCAGTTTATGTACTGCACAAAGGGAATTTCATCTTAACCTTTTAATATCTCATTTACATAACAGACTTGCCCACCTTCAAATCTGTAATCATTTAGGAGAGGGTTTCTCATTAAGAATACAAGAATTTTACTTTATATGCAATTTTCAAGACAAAAAGAATAAAAATTGTCATAATAATGACTTGCATGTGTCATCCTGATAGAGTACAACTAAGATTAGAAAAGACGACACTGTTATCTGTGAACATAAACCCTGTTTAATTTAGAAATTAGACTGTAAACCAATTTTAGTATCTCATCGCTACAAACCCTATATTTCTAATGTGATTTTTATACGATGTAATTAACTTCACTGTCCAACACCAGGATCTCATTCACATTCAGTAATCACAAAAACACCTATTGTGTGTTTGGTAACATATCCATTTCTTTATTTCTTCAAAAATACTTATCATTACTATTATAGACCAAGAGACACACACTCCTCTCTCTCTTACTGCATAGTTGAGGTTTAACGATATGGAACGTAACATATAATCCAAACATAGCAAAGGTGACAAGCCTATAATCAGAGGGTTAAGGTTGTTAAAATACCCAAGTAATAAAGGTTGTGAAATAAACATAAGAATTGTGCATAGCAGGAGTGACTGTTCCCCAGCCCCAGTTCCTGGGAAAAGCCATCTACTTCGAGTTTTTTTTTTTTGTCTGTGCCATTCTCTGCTCTGAATAACTTTCATTTGAGGTCTCCTGCAGGCTGGGGCGTTCGATGAGGCAAAGGAGGTGCAAATGTGTCGCCTTTTTAAATGAAAAATACAAAGTGATTAATCAATACCTTTTAATTTTGCAACTCACTGAGTAGTTAATAACCGGTATGGTCTCCCCCAGTGAGGCTGGAGGGAGTCCTTGTGAGGATGCCTTTTTCAACAGGCAGCATCTCCAGGTGTAGGCCATGGTGTTAGGCGTCTTTCTCTCCTGGGAGTGCGCTGTGGAGAGAGTGCTGTGAGAATGTGCATTCATTTCTAGTGCTGTTATAAATTCTTTGCAGTAAGTAAGAAGGTCTCCTTAATAAGGCAGTTTCACACATTTACTGATCTAGTCTCATAGGTCTACTGGTAATGTTTTTAAAAAGACATAATCTGTGGTTACCAAAGGGATTGATCTCAGGTTAAGTAATGCTAAGGGAAGAACGTTAGGCCAAGGCAGACTGAAAAATTCAACCCATATCACCAATTAAATTTTAACTGTCTCATCAGTTTCTTCTATAAAACCAGAGGACTGGGGATGAAAATCACAATGGAAATACTGCAATATCGTCCAAGCTTTGCATACCTGGTGTAGAGTTTCAGGCCAACAGTTTTTACAAGACTAGGATATATACAATGTTAAGTCCGACCTGGCACTTGCATTTGTGGAGTTTACAATCCAGTAGAAGAAACAGACAATAAAGTCCAAGAAAAAGCTGTATAAATTGTAAGTGCCATATGAGCTCATGAAAGGAAATGTAGCATTTTGAGAAAAGATAATAGGGGAGTGAAGGGTGATTAGGAGTTTGCTAGATGCAGTTTGTCAGGGGCGGAGGTAAACGTGAGGTCAGAAAAGAGGGCAGCTTTGGGGTCAGAAGACAATGGGATATCCAAAGGACTGAAAGAAAAAAAACATGCAAGTGTTTTATGTTCTTGACATTGTAGCTAGTGTAGGACTCTTGTAAGAGGGGCGGGGAGCAACATATTTTTAAATAAAGGGAATTATATATGGTCAATAGAAAGAATGTAACACAGACTATGTTCTAGGTCTGGTTTTGTTAGATACAACAGGTTTAATTTTGAATGATTCCTGAATCCTCTATAAATATTTTTCTTTGGTTGCACAGTAATTGATCTGGAATCACCACTAACATGTTTTCTCTCTAACTATGCTATATTTCTATAAGCTCCCTTCTGGACAGTTTTCTTATTTTGTTCTCTACAGTGTGGATTTTCTCCCTCATAATTTTGTGGAAATCATGCTCCAAATATGAAAATATTTCTGTTATTTTTTGTGGAAATAGGTGTTCTTTTATTTTTGCTGCTGAACAAAATGTGTTATTTCAAGTGGGAGGACTGTGATTTTTTTCCTGTGTTGATAGGTAGATTTTTCCACCTTGCCAGTAAATAGTTTATTTGAACCACAAAGCTCAGTAAGCATCACTCTTTCTAAAACTATCTCATTTTCTTCTACATCTTTCAGCTGAGTGGCACTTGAAAATTCTGAGTATGAAATTGGTTTTGTATCCAGTTAAATACATTGTTTTTACATTTACAAAGGGCAATTTGATGTAGTCTTACATAATTCTGTATTTAAAACAGAAAACTTAGAACAAAACATAATTGAGTTTTTGAGTTTCTTATTTTTTGGAACTTTTAAAATGTAATTATAATACTTGACAAAATAAAATGAATGAAAATATGAACACCTAAAGTGATGTTAACATAGCTGGGTACTGAGTTTGGGAAATCCATCAACGTTTGTAAGCCACACAAATTATACTGATTACATTAGTTTCCTAGGGCTGCCTAAGCAAACACCATGAATTGGGTAGTTGCAACAAAAAAAACAAACACACGAACTGATTTTCTCACAGTTTTGGACACTGGATCCAAGGTCAGTTGGTTTTGTCTGAGATGTTCCAAAGCCTCTCTTGGCTTATCAATAACACCTTCTCACTGCTTTGTCCTCCTGTGCAGGTGTGTCCTCCTGTGGTTGTCTCTCTGTGCAGGTGTGTCCTGATGACTCTTTTCGTGTCCGCATTTCCTCTACTAATGAGGACACTGGTCAGAAAAGCTTAGACGCCACCTATGATTTCAGTTTAATTTTATCATCTCTTAAAGCCTGTATCTCCAATACAGTTATATTTTGAGGTACTGGTAGTTAGGACTTCCAACATACAAATTTTGTGGGGACACAATTTAGCCATAACACTATTATATAGTAAGGAGTTATTTACCAAGTTACTCAAAGTGGCTCAAAAGAGATAAATCACCTTGTTTACAGGAAATATATATTTTTTCACTTCAAAGTTTAGGTCAGATGAAAATGTATTTCAAGCAGAAGTATCATTTTATTATAATGTAAAAGATGTAGCTGAGCTCTAAATAGAGGAAACAGCATGATAGTTTTTTAAATTTCAAATTCTATTTTGCAAATTCTGTTCTATAAAATACCTATATTAAGGGTTTTTGCAGAATATTGAAAACAATGAATCAGATTGCACAAGAATAAAAAACATAGTTGTATTTTTAAAAAATAAATGTTTACACAAATCCTTTAAAATTTTGGCTGTCTTATTGCCTGATTCCTTGTATAGGCATTGAGCATATATTTCCTGAACATTCTGATCAGGGTTCACAAAAATATCACAATTTTATCACATTTTGCTAAATTTTATTATATTATACATGTAAGTTCAAAGTTTATATTTTGCATACATATTTCCATTTTAAGATCACATTCCTAAACATTTTTATTAATTGGAGATTACAAGAAAGCATACTTCTAATCAATTGCTAACTTACTTTTCATCTAGACTTACCTGGTCAACATTCCTTACTCTTTGCTCATCTGAAGCAAGTGACATTTAGCCCAAGCTTTAGTCCAGTTAGAATTACATAGTTCTCTTACATTTTAAACTCTAAACTGTTAAATTCATACCTTTCTAACACATAGAAATGTTTCATCTCCGGCCCATATATTTTAAACTGTTTCTTCCACATTCTTCTGAACAATGAACAAAGAATTAAGAAATTAAATAAATATGTTAGGTATCTTATTTTATACAACTAAATGGTACTTTGAAGAAGAATATAATACTCTACCATTTGCCATAGAAGTAATAAAGTGAGTTTATCTTAAAATCTGCTAGAATAAAGATGTTAGTATGTATGTCCTCGCATTTTTTTGTTCTTTACACTGCAGAATCTTAAATGTTTCTCCATGAAGCCACACATCTGTCCACCTTCACTTGGCTATTATAGAGTCAGGAGTATTATTGGTCATCTTAATGGCCAGTCACACCATTCATTCCATGACTGGGCAATTATGTAATGCCATTGAGATGTAGAGACCATGCCTAAAATTGGCTAGGTAAAAATCATAAGACATATTTCCAGAAGGCAAAATAACTTCTCTTTAGCTCTCTATTTAAAGAATAGTTTAAAAAAATGTTTTGCATGCGATACTCACCTGGCAGGGGAGACACCGTGGTCATGGAGGTGGCTTTCCCAGGGCGAGGCTCACCCACCGCGCTCCGGGGGTGCTGACCCCTGCCATTTCCCCAAACGTGGGAAACTCGACCGTACAGATTCTGGTAGTGGAGGCTGCATTCACGCTCGCCCCTGAAAAAAAATGTCTTGCATGCAAAAAGAATGTGAATGCATAATTGATTAATATGTGCATGTTTCCTCATATGTCACAATAGCAACCAAAATAATGATACATGAAGAGTTGTAAAAATAAATGTTTTTGGATAAGCAGTTTTCTTTTAATTTAGTGCTACTTTATTTTACTGGACCTCCACCCAGTTTTGATAGTGTTTTCAATATAGATTTATCTGTAGTTGAAAAGCAGTGGCTGCGTTATTGATGGAATATAGATTGTATAGCTGACATGTCTGGATTTGAATCATGCTTCAACCACTACCCAATATGGCATAAATGAAGTGAAGTCTTAGAACCTTGGTTGTTTCATATAAAAACAGAAATAGAAACATCAATCTCATAAAGTGCCTTTTAAATGAGAATATTTAAATAAGAAAATTTATTAAAAAATGCAAAACACAGTGCCTGCCACATAACAGGCACTCAAATAGTAGTGCCTGTTTCCATAACCCCTGTGGCCCGCACTGTTCTCCTTCCTCAAATGATAACAACAGCTTTATTAGAAAACAGTTTCCATTTCACACTGTTGACAAAAAAAGTAAGGGCTTCAACATTTCCCTATGTAGTACTTTTACCTCCTTATCTTCTTAAGTTTCTCAAGTTAGATATTCTCAGATACAGAGTTTATTTGATATCACCTCTCTACGGATGACTGTTCATTCACACATTGTTCACTCTCATTGAGTTTTAGCACATAGGCTCAAGTTTTTTATTTCTATGGTATGTGTGTGTCTGTGCATGTGTGTGTTTATTTATATGTTGTATTTTCTTGTTGAGTAGGTGGAAGGAAGGGGGAAGAAATTATAACTAAAATTTTACTCCAAAATAATGCCCTAACTTTTTTTGAAGAAATGCAGAAATATTATTTAAACTTGGAACATATTAAACTTTCCTTTTTTCTCTTTTCTGTAAAGATCTCAAAATGAAATGACTGTCAGCAGGATGAGGCACATGCCAGTACATACTGCCAGCTTAAGATAGTTCTTTAACCAGACTTTTTTTTAAAGAATTGACTATATGCCAGTCTAGAGAAAAATCTCAGTTACTTGCAGAGTTCCTTTGTATCTAAGTGAATTTAGTTCACTTTAGATACAGTTATCACTTTAGTTCAGATATTTTGACTTGACTACGAGTAGTGCAAAAGTCAATTTTTTAAAATAACCTAGGCTAAGTGACCAATCTTTTCAAATAAATAGAGGTATTCTATAGATAATGACATGTATATACTAGTCCAAAAAAGAATACTATAGTAACTACAATAATAAAAGTAACATCTAAGATTACAAATGAATACATGACACTTAGATTTAGCAGATATTGTGCATGAATTTCTTACTATACAAATTACATACATCTTTATCATAATAATTTTTCTAAAGGCCAGAAGATGCTCAAGTAGAAATAGTATAGTTAAAGTACATGGAGTAGTCTTGCATTTTCCATTATTTTAGGCAACGTGCATTAAAATGAAAGTTTATTTTGAGCCTCTCTAAATAAATTATTACAGTTAATACAAGCAATACAACAAAGGTTTTTTAAAAAAGTCTGTTTCTAAGAGTGATTGGAGGAGGGTATTAATGAAACAATATTTAGGATCTCATAATTGCCTTCAAGTAATCTTGACTTGAAGTATTTCCAATACTCAGAAATATTTCTGGCATGCAGTAAATACTCAGAACATGTTAAACAATTAAAACATTATTTTAAAATTGACGATAGCCAGAACCTTGAACAATTAACTTTAAATATAATTTCATGTAATATTTCCATACATGTAAGAAAAATACAGTAGTGTTGTTTTTAAATGGTGGTAACCACGGTGATACATGATCAGAGAAATAGTCAATTAGGACAATAGATGCTGGAATCAATATTCATTGCTCTGTTTTTGTTTCATGTGTTGGAACAAATAACGTATTTAAGCCAAGCTCTTTGATAATTTGACTGTCAACACTGGATTTTATTAATGTCTCATGAGCTTCATAGGTGAGTCTACATTTATTAGAAGATCTCCTTCCTCTTTTTCTAACTAATATTCTAAGTCTGATAGTATTAAAGCAATTGTAAATCCCTCCTATTTTAAACAAAAACAAATACATATCCCTTTCTTTTCTCTCCCTATTTTTAATAATAGAGTTGATAATGATAAACTCATAATCAGAATAGCAACCAGAATTTTCTAGTGCACTTAATACTTCCACTGTTCATGAGTTGTAATATTATGTTTCCTATATTGTTTCATAATATTTTGCAATAAACTAAAATTTTGTCTACTATCAACATTTTACAATTGAAGAAACTGAGGCTTAGAGATATAAAGTAGCTTTCTGAGGAGGAATGAGTAAATAGAGAGACCTAAATCCATCTTATTTCTATCTTACTTTCAGTTTTTTGTGTGTTTGTATTTGGGACCAAGCTTGTCTCTCCTGACTTTTCTCCAGTTTCTTACCTCCCATTAAAGCGCTTCCATCCGATTCTCTTCCCTGGACTCCTCAGTCTTTGAAGGATGCCACAGAAACGGCCGTCCCTAAGGCCTTCTGTGGCATCAGGATGGTTAAAGGATGACACTCGTCATTCTGTATTTTACTTGCACTCTTTCAGCTGTGGGCTGTTTTGACCACATTCCTCATCTAGAAATATTCTTTTTCTTTTCATCTCCTGAATACCCATTGTCTCTTAGCATTTGCTTTCCATACCTGACCATGCTTTTCAGCCCCTTTCCCATGCTGATCTTCTTCTTATTTCTTCCTCTTCCTCTTTTCCATACCTAATGATGAATCTACATTAGGGCTTAACTTATACACTCGACTTAAAAATCTCTGTTTCCATGACTTTAACCACCTGGTAGTCAAGGATAATTGCCAAATTTCATGAGTCTGTGCCGATCACCGCAAAAGCAGACCCTCACTGCTACTCCTTCACAGGGACAGTTCCCTGTTCGCTGCCCAAATTTTTGCAAAGTGGCTCCTCCCTCAGGTCTAAGTGCAGATGCTCCTTTCTCGGTCAGACCTTGAAAGCTACCCAGGTTTGGTTAAATTGCCTTACTATTTATTCTCCAAGTATTTATTCGTATTTTCCTTCTCACTCAAAATTCCACTTTTAAAAGATGCATCTTATAGAATAGATGGTTTGCAAGAATAAGAGCAAAGTCTATCTTGCTCTATAAGCCATTCCTGAAGGGTAGGGATATTTTGGATGCATAATAAATGCTGAAAAGCATTGGTTGAATTCAATGAAAACCTGCACCTCATGTTTATTTTTTAGTTCTGGGAGGATACCAACATTTCTCTGGTTTTGCTTCCCTACATTTTCAATGATGTAGAAGACATGCCAACAGAGTGTCATATCTAGATGAAATGAAGCATTCCAAAAATTATGTGTGGTTTATTTGAATCATTTGTAGGGGAAGGAAAGACAATTTTCTAAAGGATGTTTCTTCTAAATTGTGTCTTAAAGCTGTTTGTAAGTAGAAAATTGAGTTTATATTACATTAGAAGATACTATAATGCCTTTATTAAATTCACTGTGCAATCTTTAATCAAATAAGTAAATGCATTATTTATTTCCAAGGTTAAAGCATATGTTTTCTTCATCTGGAATGCCAATTCTGGAGGAAAACATGTCTAATAATGTAGGAAACTGAAGGCCAATTTTACTTTTCATTATTCTTATAGCATTTAGTACCTAAGGCCTGTCACATATCTTCTTGCATGTTTTCATCATATGTGCTTTTTAGAAATTACAACTAATTTTTTGGATATGAAATTAACTTTATAGTTTATTTTTGAACACTCCATGATAATAAAAATCTTTGGCTCAAACATTTTTAATCCCTTAAATTTCATTTATATCAACTTTGACAATAAATTAAAAACTTTTAAAGAAGAATATTTAAAATGCCTACTTGAGATTAAAAACATTTATTCTGTTGGTCAAAGTATCCTTATATTTCTAATGCTTAAGACATGGAAAATTAGATGTGACTTTGACTACTAGATAACTCAGTAAAGTGTTGATCCTTAGATTTGGGGTTTTAGAGGAAAGGAGCTTGGAAGAATTTCCTGGTGAGATCATTTTGACTGGATCATAAGCCTAAATTAAAAAAAATAAATTATCACGTTATATATCATAATATAATAATACACTGTCATCTTAATCAGAGACTTTTGAATACCATCTTAAAAAGTTAACATAGTTCTTTTCAGTAATACTTGAGTGAGAAAAAGTTATCACAAACTTGCAGCAAACAAAGAGCTTGAAGCAGAATAATAAGTGTCCAAATCCTAGTTCAGTAGATGGTAGTAAACAAACAATTAATCTCCCCTTTTTCTCATTTTCTTCATCTTTAAGGAATGAATAGTTGAACTTATCCTCATTTGTCAAACTTTTTTTTTGTAAGAAAGCTGCACAATTTTGGAATATTATGGTAGCATGTAGTTGTTTCACAAGCTCGTTAATAAAAATGCCTTAAAATTAGCTCTTTCCAAGTGAAATAAGCCACAGAGTGAAAGACAAATACCATATGATCTCACCTGTAAGTGGAACCTAATCAACAAAACAAACCAACAGGAAAAATATAACCACAGACATTGAAATAAGGAACAAACTGACAGTAATCAGAGGGGAGCAGGCAAAAGGGATAATGGGGGAAAGAAAGGAGAAGGTCAAGTCAAGAAACATGTATAAAGGACCCATGGACAAGCCTGAATGGGATAGGACTGAAGGTGGTAGGGGGGTGAGGGAAAGTGGTGGTGGGAAAATGGAGACAACTGTACCGGCACAACAATAAAAATAAATAAAATGTACTACTAAAAAAACTAGCTCTTTGTTTTGAAGTAAAAATTCAAATGAATCTCATAAGAGTACCTTGTCCAACTTTGAAAAATTTTAGGCAATATGGACAAATTATGGGGAAATGCAGCATGTAGGCATTGATATGTTAATATTATCTCATATACTTT